GGTTATGTATGTTGTAAGATAATGCAGGAGCCATACTTACGGCAGCATTTATGAAATGTATTAACTGGACAAAGTTTCCTGCTCTCGAATATGACACACTCGCTGTTGTATAAAAATATCTGTTTTATCTTCACAAAGGCGTACGCCATATTGAATTGAGGAGAGAGACTCATAAAGTCCACGGCGTAACTGAAAACATCGCCGTAGAATATTTTTGCTAATATTGTCGTTTCACCTGTGAAGAGGAATAAAGAAGTGTTATGACATCTACTCACTGCAATTAAATTCATGTGATATTTAGAAACAAAGATAATAATTCTTATTGGTTGAAGAGATATTGTGTACTCAATTTAGATTTGCGTTTGGTCTTTCTGCTATGAATTTAATGAATAATCTTATATATATAAAAATGAAACCCGTTTTCCGTTGTCACGGCATCACGCGTGAATGGCTTGACCGATTTCAAAAATTCTTTTTTATTTTATTTGTTATTATTAGGAGAAGGTTCTTAAGACAGAAAAAATCCAAAAAATCCTACGGGAACGGGAGAAAACGGGATTGCGTGGACGAAGTCGCAGGCAGAAGTTAGTTGGTTATATTTTAATTCCATTTTCATTAATCACATTTTATTAAAGTTTTTAATTAATGGTCACGTACCAAAAACAAGGTTGACGATGACAAAAGTCATAGTATTCAGAGCCATCCGGGGTCCCAAACTGAAGATGTAGGCTTGAGGCACACATCCAATCCCATACACAGTCAACATGAAAGGAACTATAACTGTTGAAATAAAAAACATACATTTATCAATAAGTGATACATTTACCAAGAATAATTGTCTTCAGTAGCGATTAGATCTTCAAAGTAATCCTGACAGTGAGAAAGTAGACGTTCATGTTATCATCAACGTGATCATTCGTTGAAAGACATCTTACTTTTTTTTATGGCATAAGCCGGTAAACGAGCAGACGGATCACCTGATGGTAAGCAATCGGCGTCTCCCATGGACACCTGGAACACCAGAGGCGTTACAAGTGCGTTACCGGCCTTTTGGGGATCAGGAGCTTGAGGATGGTTGGGGATTCGGGGATTGGGAAGATGCAGGGGGGGTAAATGGGCCTCCGGTAACCTCACTTACACGACAAAATACAACGCAAGCGTTGTTTCACGTTGGTCTTCTGTGAGGCCGTGGTATCGCTCCAGTCGAGCCAGCCCATTCGTGCCGAAACATGACTCTCCCACACTTACCACTGAACAAAATCCTCTTTAGGAACCGGCGACGGAGATGACAGAGGGTTATGGCAATCTTTATTATTATGTATCACATGTTAAACTATACCTCTCGTGACCTGCGAGGTGCTCAATGTGTTATTTATTGTGTACTTATGATTATGTGCTCTCAGTGTGGCTCGAAATTAGTCCAGCTACTATGACCTCTAGAAAACCGTAGAAAAAGTAGGTAGAATACAATAAAATTGCAATAAAACTCACTTAGATCGACATACTTCATATGTGTCATAGGTATAGTGGCGACCATGATGGCGATCATTACGAAGCTCATTATACCGACCAGTATCCAGTACAGCAGCAGGTCCCAGAAGTAGAGGCTCAACCAATAGCGGGCCGGGGAGAAGTTCATTGCGTGTTTCTGTAAATTGCAGTAGAAAGATAAATAGACGATGAGGATGGTAGAAAATATTCAGACTCGAAAAAGCAATTACTTAGTGGGTTACACAAAAATATATGTTTTTTCACTTTACACACTTAAATTGATTCGTGCATGAGTTGAATTTAAGTCGTAGCGACGCGCTATGCCGAGAACATCGGTCACCGAAAAGAAATTGCAAAATTCGCCAATAGTGATACAAAATAGTAGACTACACGGTTGGTGCGGTGGCTGGGCAACCGGCTGCAGCGCAACGTGTCGCGGGTTCGATTTCCGCACGGAACGACACTTTGTGTGATCCACCAATTGTTGTTCCGGGTCTGGGTGTCATGTGTGTAAACGCACCCATGACACAGGATAAAATACTAGGCCATGCAGCAACGTATTTAAAAAAAATATATTAAAATATTCATTTCCGTCACTTTGCACTGTAATAAGTTAACACGTTCAGACCGGCGTGTACCATCGATGGTACACCTCGCCGTGGCAGCAAATACTCCGTGCTCCACCGGTGGTACACGCCGGTCTGAACGTGTTAATATAAAGGAAGCAGATATACAATAATCATCAAGGTCTGAGTAAATAGGTTGCTTATGGGGCGACGTGCTCCATGGTAGACCGCATCATCGCTTACAACAAGGCGTGATAGTGGCCAAACATCGGCCCATTAAATATAAAAACAATGTGTTCACTCACTTGGATATGTCTTATAAGTCCAAACTCCTTGGATGGTAGAAGAGTAATATGTGAAATAGTCAGTATCAACATGAACTGTATGAACAGCGGCGGTGTAGTCACGTCTTTCAGCCACTGCAATACGGTATTAAATACAAATAAAAACGGTACAAATCAAATCAAATTCAATACATCGAAACGTTAAAAACAATATTGTTCTATGAATTTTGTACCAAAAACTAACTTATGACGTCATAATATTTTCGAGTCAATTCTGAAAGAAACGCTAGAATAAATCGAAAATTAACAAAACATAACATAACATCACGCCTTTTATCCCTGAAGGGGTAGGCAGAGGTGCACATTAGACCACTGTACACTGTAACACCCACTTTTCACTATTTATGTTATGAGTCCCATGTAATATTGCCATATGACGGGCACAATTCCAGACTCCGTGCTACTACTGAGAATATTTAAAAACCCAGTAATACATTGCCCGACCTGGGAATCGAACCCGAGACCCCTTGCCCGGCAGTCGCGCTTACGATCACTCGGCCAACGAAGCAGTCAGGCAGTCGAAAATTAAGTATATCGTCAAATATATGAATGAAGTTGTAATTATTTTTGAATATTTAATTCGATAGAAAAATTAAAATAATTTATTTTTGATTCGGGAAAATACCCAATTAGTTAACACATTGGGTAAATCTTAGATAGCAGCTGACAATCCTTAAGATAGAAGAAAGCTTTTGATATTTATGATGTCATTCGCTATTAATTTGATGTTTTCCCATTGCATGCTAAACGAACAGACTCATTTTAAAAATAATATAGGTATAAAGACTTGAAAAGCAACAAATAGGAAATTAAAAAAAATTACCACTAAAACGTACGACCGCCGAGAAAGGGGTCTCGGGTTCGATTCCCGGGTGGGACAAAGTATTAATGGGTTTTAAAAAAAAATTCTGTCGTAGCACGGAGTCTGGAAATGTGCCCAGTATATGGCAATAGGCTCACCCCTTATTACATGGGACTCATAACATAAATAGTGCAAAGCGGGTGTTACATTGTACAGTGGCATTAAGTGCCGTAATGTGCACCTCTGCCTACAGTTTCAGGGATAAAAAGCGTAATGTTATGTTATGTAAAATGTAATTATTTCAACAGTTTAATAATTATAAATACCGGTGACATATCCAAAGCGAGAGGGTCGTCAATAATCTTTATTGTAGCATCCATACTCTTGGAGTAATGCCGAAGTAAGGCCATGAATACACGAGCTAGAGAACGGGCTGCAGCTCCATGGTCGTGGTGGATTGGACTGTACAGAGCTTGGATCTGCAGAAGAAATGTCCAGGCAGTCAAATCATTTAAAGAATTTTTAACCATAAAATAATAAAGGCAGTCTTTTATAAAGCATCGTGAGACATACTAAATTAACTAAAATCGCGTGAAAAAATAGTGAGTCACTTCGTCACTTCTATCTATGTACATTTTATACGTAGAAATGACGTTTAAGCCCGCACTCCTAAACTTTGATTCGTTTTATCTAAGTACGTATTGTTTTATTATACAACTACTTAAATAAAAAATACGTGTCTAATATTTTTTTATTACCTAACTGACGGACTAATTAGATTTTTAATTTTCATACCCTGTCATCATCCCAATTGATGGAAAGGATTATTTTCTCAAAGATATTTTACAGTACCTATGTTATGTGTTATGGAGTGTGCTGCAGACGTAAAAATATTCTACGTACATAAACTGTTCCATTCTCATCAGTCGAAACGTCCATACCATAAGCATACATATAGACGTAAAGTTGAGGCGAGTCTATAGCACGAGTCACCAAGTATTCTGTCAGGCTCTGCAAAATAAAAAATTTATACAGACTAGCTTCTGCCCACGACTTCGTACGAGCAATCCCGTATCTCCCATTCCCGTAGGATTTTCAGGACTTTTTTCTGTCATAAGAACCATCTCCTGATGAAAACAAACACAATAAAAAAAACAGCCAAATCGGTCGAGCCGTTCTCAAGTTATGGCGTGACAACGGGAAACGGGCTTCATTTTTATATATATAGATAGACTAGTTTCTGCCCACGACTTCGTACGCGCAATCCCGTTTCTCCAATTCCCATAAGATTTCCAGATTTTTTTTTCTATCTTAAGAACCTTCTCCTGACAATAACAAACATAACACCAAATCGGTCTAGCCGTTCTCAAGTTATGGCGTGACAACGGGAAACGGGTTTCATTTTTATATTTATAGATTAATAGAATGATTTCTTTTCAAAGGAATTTATATTTTAATTCATTCAAATAATACTTACTTCAGTGTGTGGCAAAGCTGTGTAATCTATATTTTTAATTTCTTTTTTCTTTGCTTTTGTGTCGGAGAGCACATATCTGAAAATTATTTCAACAAATTTAAAATTGTAGACATTCAAGTTATCTATCGACAATTTTGGGATATACACGACCTTTAGTAAAGAAGAGAACGAATGAGAAGAAGAAGGAGATGAAGAATAAGGTTATTAAATAATTGGATACTTTCCTTTGTGAAAAATTAATTATTTCGACTGTAAAACACAATAAAATATTTAAAATAATCACACTTTCATTAATTGATTTTATGACCAACTTAATTTTAGTAATTTTCTAGCATTTTTTAAGTAATAAGTATGCTGTTTGACGCTAATAAAACGTGACGTGACAATACACAATCTCGTACAAAATTCATAGAAAACTGTCGTTTTTGACAGTTCGAAAAAGGTATTGAATTTGACTAGTTGGCTAGTACCCAATTATATCATGCACCATAAAGCCTATTTGTTATCAAAAGAAATAACTACATTAATATTTAGTTCTTTACATAATACGATACCTACAGTTACGTCAATTACATATTTTAGTTTCGTAAACTTACTGACCCGTGGGCGATAGATCGACTGGCAGTAGAATTGTCAGCACGAAGGACCAAAGTGGTATAAATCTGCAAATTCTCCACGGACAATGTCTGTATCTGTATTAGAGCAGGTATAGTTCATAAATTAATAACATTATCTGACAACATTCCTTTTACCGTAATTAATGCAAGAGATTTCGGATTCCATTCCTATGTTTGGAGCTGGCTATCTGGCTAAAATCCGTTTCGGATTCCGAGGAAAGCCTTTTCTCGAATTCCTCTTCATCAACAGCCTATAAATGCCCACTGCTGAGCCAAGCCTCTTCTCACTCGGAGAAGGTTTGAGTATTAATCACCACGCTTGCTCAATGCGGGTTGGCGATGACAAACTTATAATTATAAATTATAAGCCCAGGTTTCATCACGATGTTTTCCTTCACCGTTTGTCAGATAATCTTAGAAAGTACATATAACTCGGAAAATGTCACACTGGTACATTCCGTTGGTAGGTTTCGAATCCGTACCCTCATGCATGAGAAGCGGGCGTCTTAAGCCTCCGGGCAACCACGACATTTTTCTCGAATTTTTAATTTAAAACTATGAATTACACGTATGTGAATTATTTGGCTGAAACTGTGGTTTACAATTATATACTAACGAAAAGTAGAGCTACTTTAAATACACTTATATCTGTATCATAAGTGGTTTTTAATGTTATAGAAACTTACACCACCGCTGATAATTTTTTTGGAACCCTTGCCAGGGTCCATATGAGTGAGCACGGAAGACAGGGACAACCCTAAGGCAACGCCTGCAGTCAGCGCAGCTAATAACTGCAACAAATTAATTAGAGACTCCCTCATTGTTTTATCCGCAGCTTGGCTCCTATTGATCGCAGTGTGATGTTTTTTTTTTCGTCGCGGAGAACCTAACGGGTAACCGGGGCTCCGGCTCGACGTGCAGGAGAAGGAACGGGGTGGTTTTTAGTCAGTAAGAGTCTGACACTCCCTCCCGCCTCACCCAGGCGGGAGCAGTCATTCGATGATATTCCCCCCTTAAAAAAAGTGTGATGTTTTATAGCCTACAGCTTAAAGATAAAGATAGTTTTATTTGCCAAAACATGTGTAGGTTACAATAATACATGCAAAAATGAATGTTTACTATAGAGCTTTTCTCGATAAATAGAACATCCAAAACAAAAATTATTATTCAATTCGGATGAGTATTTCTGGAGATTGGCGCGTTTAAACACATAAACAAATACACAAACAAATAAACTAGTATTAAGTGTGAAGGTGTAAGTGGCTGAATACTTTGGCAGTAATGGGCAAGTTTGACCGGAGGGATATTAAGTCCCCACGGAAAAACTGTATGAAATTACGATTGTTGCCTTGTTGGAAACGCACTTGTAAATCCCCTGGTGTTGCAAGTGTCCATTGTTATTTAGGTACACACGGCTACACATCGAGCTTTACATAACCAGTATAAACTGAACGTTAAGTGTGCGGAGAGATGAAAACGCGACACCAGGATAAACTGGTTTTGTATAGATTGATGTGTGACCGTGTGTACCATCAGGTTATCAATTAGCTCGTTTGTCTACCGATCTCCTAAACATGTTTTTATAAAACTAAAATAGAGTGACACTTTTAATTTTTTGTTTTTATTTAATAAATTTATATACACACAAATATAACAGAGGATAACACATATATAAAATTAGAGTAGGTACATAGGACCTCAGACAGGAAATTTTACTTTATGCATCGAAAGTATTCATTAAGGCAAGTTGTTTTGCCATGGGACAAAAAGTTCTCAGTGGTAGCACGGAGTCTGAAAATGTGCCCGGTATATCGCAATACGCTCACCCTCTATTACATGGGACTCATAACATAAATAGAGAAAAAGCGAGTTAATGTGCACTACCCCTTCGGGGATAAACAAAAAGAAAATAAATTACACGATGTATTATAAAGTACGATTATTGTACTTTGAAATTAGATTGTCCTGAAGAAAGCATGTACATTGCTACCTAGTTACCTACCTATTAGATAATGTCTTACCGTGATTGTAAACAGGAGTTTATGATAAATGTGAAACGTGAAGAACTTGTGAGCGATGCTGCCGAGATGCAAATTTTTATAAGACGTTCGTCGTATCCATCTAACGGGTTCTATAACAAAAAGATAAATTAGGTTCAATATTTTATAATCTCCTTTAAATTCTTCTATGGAAAGCGACACCAAAGGTAAGTACGAATGGTCACATAGAGTCGCGGAGAACCTAACGGGTAACCGGGGCTCGGGGTCGACGTGCAGGAGAAGGAACGGGATGGTTTTTAGTCAGTAAGAGTCTGACACACTCCCTCCCGCCTCACCCAGGCGGGAGCAGTCATTCGATGATTTTCTCCCCTTAAAAAAAATGTCACATACTAGTAGGGTTGCCAACTGTTTTTAACGAAAAAAGCGTATAAAGGTTTAATGATTGACACTCATAAAGAACATGGTTCATTTACAATGAGCTTAAATGACTAATTATACCTAGGTATACAGAGTTATGCCCAAACGGTGTTAATAAATATTTTCAGATACATATTTTCTTAACCTATTTTTAAATTCCCAATTCCCAAAAAGCCGGTAACACACTTGTAATGCCTCTGATGTTTAAGGCGTCCACGGGTGACGCCGATTGCTTAACACCAGGTGATCCATCCTTTCGTTTACTGGTTTATTCCATAAAAAAACAAGATATCCTGAGCTTGGTTCTAGGTCGGGAAAAGTGGTATTGTGTTGTTTGACTTAAAAACCTATGAAAAAAAGGCGTGATGTTAAGATGTTGATTAATTATAAATAGAATACCTGTAATGTTAAACAGTGCCGCTTTAGTTCTCATAATAGTCAGCGGATCGTGGTGTTCTTTATGTGACCTTGAATCCATGATAGCTCTGTAATATGAACATAAAACTTAACATTTTCTTAATTTCACAACGTGATTTTTAATATAATTGAATATGTTTTTCAGATAACATATTCCGTCTTAGACATAGTGAAGATGTTCAATTAAGAATTTAATACAACTGTATTACTTAAAACTATGTATGTAGGAATCGTAGTATTTGGCGTTTTATAGTCTCTGCCTACCCCCATGGGAGACAGGCGTGAAGTTATGTATGTTCTCAAAAATATAAGGGGCACCATCTTCAATTTCATACATTCGTCTTAGAGTAACTCAAGAGCTGATGGCTACTAAAATAAAGCATATATATAAATGTTGAGATACAGTGAGTCTAAACAATGCCTTAATACCTAGACCAATCATGTCTGTTGTGAAAAGCGAGAAACACATTAATGCTTTTTTAAATTTAACGTCTAAAAACAGTGTGGCACTTATTTTGTTTTGAGTAGTATAGTATAATTCAAAAAACCTTTAAAGAAATTCAAAAAGCTATTTTTATTAATTTAATACATCATTATTCAACCGTAGGACTGCCTCGTTGGCCGAGTGGTCGCAAGTGCGACTGCCGGGCATGGGGTCTCGGATTCGATTCCCGGGTCGGGCAAAGTATTACTGGGTTTTTAAAATCTCAGTAGTAGCACGGAATCTGGAATTGTGCCCGGTATATGACAATAGGCTCACCCCCTATTACATGGGACTCAAAACATAAAAAGTGAAAAGTGGGTGTTACTTTGTACAGTGGTATAATGTGCACCTCTGCCTACCCCTTGGGGGATAAAAAGGCGTGATGTTATGTTATATCATTCAACCGTTGAGGAATAGGTTTGCCAATACATCCAAAACCTATTCGAAACAGTACCTAGTATTCGAAGATATATATTTAAGCTTATATTTAAACGCACCTTCGGCAAACTTCATCAGAATCTGCTACTGTGATATTGAAGGACGTGAGTCCATATTTATTGGAGTTGTCAGTTAGATCCTTCACCAGTTCTGCGACGGTGGCAGTAGGGCTGGCTGGTAATCTCAGGATGAGCAAGGAGCCAAGGTGAGCTCTAACTGTGGCACCAGCTCGCTCAGCCCTCTCAAGAAGTTCTTTGACATTATCTTCAGAATTTCCAGTACTCTTCATCGTCATCCGCACACGGTATTCACGACCTTAAAATACAAGGTGTAGTTTTGAAACCGTGTCATTTCTCGGGGGCATGTCACAGAAGTCATATAATTTCAAAGTAAGAGAAAATTTCGGGCCAATAGTTAAAAATACGGCTATAATAAATCGTTTAAGTTCGACAATATTTCAGAATAAGCGATAGCAATGTTTCATATTTGAGTTTTTTGGAATTAGGAATAATATTAATTACGTGTTTGAGTTTGTGTGGTTTAGGCCGCGTTATAAAGCTAGTTACAAGATGGCGGCGTGTACTTCGCACTTACGGATTGCCATAATTTCAGAAAAATGAAAAATATTTACCAACTATTTTTTTTTATTGATTCGGACTCAGGGTCGATATCCGAGTTACCTCCAAGAAAATGACGCCGCTTTAAAACAACACCTTGTATATCAACTACTAGTTATAGGATTATTTTTTAATTGCATGGAATTAGTAACTGGCAGTCTAGGTGTACTGACAAAGTTGTCGTTATTAATGTAAACGGTACACTAAAATGTTTGATCATGGTGAAAGAAATATTGGATTTTAATACAAAGAGCGGTAAGACAGAAGATGAGATAGGTGAGGAAGCCGTTAAACATAATAATTAATAATTAAAAATATAGAAGATGTTACAGAGCCTGAAATGGAGTCCGGAGAGAATTTATGTATAACCAAAGAGTAAAAGAAAACCAAAAAAAAGAATAAACAATTGGGTACTTACCTTAATCAAAAATAAATTATTTCGACTGTAATTAAGCAATCGATCAGCCCGTACCACCACTAAACCGATTGCTGATGAAGCCGATCAAATTGCATACATATGACGAGTAGAAGTTAAAGTGCATATTTAGCATTATGTTATTTTATTAATATAATTTAATTGTAAGTCAGTCTTGTAGGATAATTCATTAATTAAAACACCTTGTAATAAATAAATCCTTTTTTTTAATTAAATTCCTGATCGCCGTTATCTAACTGGCGCAGTCGGTAGGATCGCGACACTCTGACGATAAACTCTCCGCATAGAGTGAACGGTATCTATCGTTATCTTCGCGATTCGATATAGAAGAACCTACGAACGGCGATATCCTGCAAGGAGTACCGGAGAATTGGTAGTCCTGCTATCCTACAAGGCCCGACTGGAGATGCAGAGGATCTTCGGGTGAGTACAAATCGTTTAACCAGTGTCCTTTGCTATATTTCCTGTCGTACATATCATATTACATTTATGTGTATTGTGTTACTTGTGCATGTCTTTGTGCTGTAATCGCGACAGACGACTTATTTAATATTGTGTTAATATTTTTGCTTAGTAGGTATTAGTTAGCGTTCAATATCACGCCAATTGATACTAAGGTGTAAGCAGAAGTGTAATTGTTCTAAAAATAAACCGTAGGAATAACTTAGGTAACTTTAGTTAACGATTAGTGGATCTTGTAGCTTAATTAGCAAATTTTTTTTTTTCCCTCTTTTAATTTCCTCTGTTTTACGTATTCGCCATGAATAGCTCAGATATGGCCAATCTTAAGTTAATTAGGGATCTTATGCCAAAGTACGATGGCAAACCTAAAACTTTAAATTATTTTATAAGAGAAGTGGAGAATATTATTAGAATATTAGACTCGGAAGCTAGGAGCAACCCTGCAATAACTTGCCTCATCAAGAGTAAGTTAAACGGCCCTGCGATCGATGCAATAGCGTATGAGGAGTCCCTTGATACCTGGGAGGCTATCAAGACCGCACTATTGCGTAGATTAGGAGAACCGCGTAACGAAATACAAGTTATGCAGGAGCTAACCCGCGTGCGTCGAAATAAAACCGAGGACGCAGAGGCCTTCGGTAAACGTCTTAGAGATATTCTAGATACATTACAATCAGTAGGCAAGCATAGCGACAAGTCATACTACGAAGGTATGGTGATAGATCAATATATAAATAATCTAGAATTCCAAGTCTCTGTCGGGGTTCGCATTAATAAACCAGCCACTTTAGAAGTCGCAATTATCACAGCTAGGCAAGAGGAGGCGCGATTGGCCCATAACAAATTTAATAACTTTAGTTCACCTTCGGTACAAACCAAACCAAAAGATGCTATTAGACCAAACATGTCCTCACCACAGGTAACTCAACCATTTAGGTTTAATAATACTCCACCACAGAGATTCCCTAGAAACCACGTACCACAGCATAGCAATGCCACTCCAGAACCCAGACAGCAATGGGTAAATCCAGCGGTACCATGGAAAAATAGGTCCTTATCGGGAAATTTCACACCCAGAAGTTCTGGTAACTTTAGGAACTCGGGAAACTTTAGGCAGCAGAATATCCCGAACCAGCAAGTCGACGCGCCGCAGAGATCCTCGGATGTCACCATGAGGTCGGTAGATAAACCTGCTAAGCCACAGTTTGGACAACAACAATTCTTTTATACAACGAACGAGCCACACTATTCTCAGGAGAACTATGAAAACTATTATGATCAAGGTGAGTTTTATAATACTCAATACGCTGAGCAGGAGTATACGGAAGTAACTTCAAACGAACAGAGCCAGGATTTTCTCGAGGACAGTGGACTGGAAGATCACAGCTGAATACCGTTGAACTAAATACTCACGATAAAAGTCGCTTGCCTTATATTGACCTGCCTGAATACCGAGGTAAATTTTTATTAGACACGGGGGCTTCAAACTGTATGATTTCCATTAACGCTATACGAGGAACTATCTTTGAACAATATGTTGAATACGAACCATTTCTAGTGAGAACTGCACACGCTATTACTAAAAACGAGTACGATGCGTACTTGCCCCTACCCCCACAATTTAATAACGATAAATTCCATAAGTTTTTGGTGTTCGACGTCGATCCTAAGTTTATCGGAATAATAGGCATAGACTTATTAAAAGAACTTGACTGTAGCATAGACTTAAAAAACAAGGTACTTACATCTCCCACCTGTAAGATACCAATCTGTATAGATCACCCAGTTAAAAAGCTTAAGATTGAACCCAAATGCGAACAAATTATTACCGTAAAAACAAATTATGTCGATGGTCAATATATTTGTGATAAATACTGTTGGACTAAAGATCTTCAATCACCAGCAGCGGTAATCACAGTTAAAAACGGCACGTTTAAAACCTCTGTTATTAATTACAGCGACGAAAAAAAATTAATAATGAATAACCGCCCTTTGTTACTAGAACCCATACCACAAGGTTTAATAGAAAATTCTAAAGTCTGTAGTTTAAATAAATTAAGCGTCGATGAAAACATAGATCAGGAACTGAAACAAAATTTAAATAAAATTCGCACGGACCATATGAATGAAGAGGAAAGGCGGGAAATATCTAAATTGTGTTATAATTATCGGGACATTTTTCATTCAGAAAATATCCCACTGTCCTTCACGCACACGGTCAAGCACGAACTCAGATTAACGGACGACACTCCTATCTTTGTTAGAAGTTATAGACAGGCTCCCAAACAACGCAAAGAAATACAAAATCAGGTAGATAATCTTTTAAAACAAGGGATTATAAGAGAAAGCATATCTCCTTGGTCCTGTCCGGTACACATCGTGCCCAAAAAAGCAGATGCGTCTGGAAAGGTTAAGTGGAGGCTAGTCATCGACTATAGACGATTGAATGACCGCATAATTGAAGACAAATACCCTCTTCCTAATATACATGACATACTGGACAGACTAGGACGGGCACAGTACTTCACGACACTTGACCTTGCGAGTGGGTACCATCAATTAGAAATGCATCCTAATGACATTGAAAAGACTGCCTTTACAACAGAAAGAGGGCATTATGAATTCCTTCGGATGCCTTTTGGCCTGAAGAATGCCCCCAGTACTTTTCAGCGTCTTATGGACCACATTTTAAGGGGATTAGATAATGTGTTTACGTACCTAGATGACGTCATTATTGTGTCTACATCATTGCAGGAACATATAGAAAAATTAAAACTAGTGTTCGAACGCTTCAAAGTACATAATCATAATCACTGACTTGCTTGCGATTGAAGACTGGTCAAGGAGGTATGGGATTGCAGTGAATGTAGGCAAATGTCAGGCCCTCATCTTAGGTAGCTCCTATTACTTGAATAGCCTAAATGTCAATCAGCTTGATCCGATAACATTTAATCAAACCACCATACCATTGTCTCCTCACGTAAAGGATCTAGGCTTGTATCTGGACAGCGGGCTCAACTGGAATTATCAGGTTGCTCAGATTGGCCGGAAAGTAACTGCCACGCTACGATCTCTCTACAGGTTCAAGAACTTTCTGCCACCAAATATCAAGATTCTGCTTGTCCGGTCCCTTGTGCTTCCTGTTGTTGATTATGCTGATGTTTGTTACTCCGATCTATCCCAAGACCTTCTTAACAAATTGGATCGAATGCTCAATAACTGTATCCGTTTTATCTTCGGTCTTCGTAAATACGACCATATCTCTTCCTTTCGCGCTCAGCTTAAATGGCTTCCTGTCCGTGAGAGGAGATCCCTCAGATCCCTCTGCATGCTCTTCTCTATTCTTAATGATCCTTGTGCTCCAGATTACTTAAAATCTTGCTTCCAGCTTTTAGGCAGTTGCCACAACCGTAACCTCCGCTCGACGGATAACTTGCTCCTTGAAATACCTTCCCACCGGACCTCTTTTATTTCTAATTCCTTTACAATAAGTGTCATTAAACTTTGGAACGCGCTCCCCCTCAATATCAAAAAAGCTCCTAATAAAATCTCCTTTAAACACCAAGTTCATGAATTTTACTTAAAATCGCTGCAACGCTAGGTCTAGGTCTTCGTCGATATATATTTATTTATGTATTTATACCTATATATTTTATGCATATGACTATATATACTATTTACTATTAGGTAATATATATGTATAGCTATATTATTGAATAATTCCCTTTTTATTTATTTTTTCCTCTCTCTCCCTTTGCTGTTAGTTTATTCTCCGTACCTTATTTTTCGCAGATTTTCTATTTAAACCCTAAGGTTGACTGGTAGAGAATGCCATATGGCATTAAGTCCGCCTTATGTGCCATATTAAAATTGTGTACATTAAAGATTAAATAAATAAATAAATAAATAATCTAAAGATACAGTTAGACAAATCCGAATTCTTGCAAAAGCAGGTGAACTTCCTAGGACATGAACTTACAGACCAAGGCCTAAAACCTAATAAGGATAAGATCAAGGCCGTATTAGATTTTCCCCTACCTAGTAATCAAAAGGATATCAAGTCTTTCTTAGGATTAGTCGGTTATTACCGTAAGTTCATTAAAGACTTCGCAAAATTAACTAAGCCTTTAACAACTTGCTTAAAAAAGAATGCTAAGGTAGTTCACACTGAAGAATTTGTAGATGCTGTAAACAAATGTAAGCAGATTTTAACCAATGCTCCACTCTTACAATATCCAGATTTTGACCAGCCATTCATTCTGACGACAGATGCCTCCGACGTAGCAATAGGTGCAGTCCTATCTCAGGGAAACGTTGGATCGGATAAACCGGTAGCCTTCGCGTCTCGGACCTTATCAGATACAGAGGCTAGGTATTCAACAATAGAGAAGGAACTACTGGCCATAGTTTGGGCCATTAAATACTTTAGGCCGTACTTATATGGCCGAAAATTTACGATTTACACTGACCACAGACCTTTGATGTGGCTTATGTCTTTAAAAGACCCAAATTCTAAATTAACACGCTGGAGGCTTAAACTTGCTGAATATGATTATAAGGTAGTTTATAAAAAGGGAAGACAGAACACAAATGCGGATGCTCTATCTAGGGCAAAAATCTATCATAATAGTATGGACTCCCTCGCCGTAAACTTTGACGATAATTACGACGACGGATTAATTGACAGAATTTTTGAAAACGCTCGTAGGGAAGCGGCAATGCAACAAAACGACAATAGAGACAATAATAATGACAATAGGGACAACAATAATGACACCCAAACCAATAACGAGAGCGATCAACATAGTGAAATGAACCAAGACGTACCATCTGAAAGTGGCAAGACTGAACAGACAGATGCTGACCAAATGAGTGTTGTAACTGTTGAACCCGACCAACTGGTTTCCACCAACCATACGCAACCTGATAATGATAACGTAGGTATTCCGACTTTATCAGATGCTATTGACAGACAACTCAAACAGTTTCACATAAGATCGACCCCAGGTTCGGAGTATAGAGTTGAAAATAGGTCGACTAGCACTAGGATCGTTATCAAAGACGTATTTATTCCTATAAATAACACAGAAGCAGAGATAATTAGGTTCCTCAAAGAACACACAATAGCAGATCGTGTTTTTCATTGCTATTTTTACGAAGAACATCTATATTTGGCTTTTTCAAGGGTATACACGACCATTTTCAATGATAGAGGACCGAAACTAATAAGATGTAGTTCTCGTGTTACTTTAGTTGAGAACAAAACAGAGCAGCAACAGCTTATTAAACGGTACCACGAAGGCAAAACATCGCATCGCGGTATTCAAGAGACACATAAGCAACTCCATAGGAACTATCACTGGCCTAATATGTTACTATCAGTACAAAGATACATCAACCAGTGCGATATTTGTTTAAAAACTAAATATGAAAGAAATCCCCTAAAACCCCCACTAGCTTTAACACAAACTCCCTCCAAACCCCTGGAGCATCTATTCATGGATCTCTATTCTACTGGAGGTGGTACATTCCTAACCATAATAGACAACTTTTCAAAATTTGCTCAAGCGATACCTTTAAACGCCGCAAGTAGTGTACACATTGCAGAAGCTCTAATTCAAGCATTTTCAGTACTAGGTCTACCTTTAAAAATAACAACTGATTCAGATACTAAATTCGATAATGACGTAATTAAAGAAATATGTGCTTCACACGATATTAATATCCATTTTACGACACCGTATAATCCAAATTCTAACTCTCCCATTGAACGATTCCATTCAACCATTGGGGAGATTATAAGAATACAAAGAATGACCAATAAGGACGACCCAATTCAACAAATAATGAACTATGCGGTCATAGCCTATAACAATTCAATTCACTCTGCAACGGGCTATACACCAAGAGAACTATTGTTTGGGCACACAGCTTCCCGAAACCCCTTAGAATTATTTTATCCAAAGGAATTCTACCAGGACTATGTTCTTAAACATCGTAAAAACGCTGAGGCTGTACAGGAGTGCTTAGCAGCTCACATGTCTAGGAACAAAGAACAGGTAATAGCAAAGCGCAACCAGGCAGCAGAAGAGATCACCTTCAAGGTAGGTGAAATAGTTTATAAGCAGGTTGCTAAGACGGCGCGCAACGACAAGACGAAGCCTGTATTTAAAGGCCCATACAAAATAATCCATCTCCATCCTAATAACGTTGCAGAAATTATAGGCAACCATCCCAACTCAAAATCTATAAGGGTACATTATAAGCTTCTACGAAGACCCCATCTTGTTCCAGGACCCTCATCGCAGGAGCCTGTGTGCTCAACGCAGCAGCCAACTTGACCCTTAACCCAGTAAATAATGACAATGGAGTATTGCTACTTAAACAAGGTCAAATCCTTAAGCAGGTCGACACTTTTGCTCTGGCCTGTACATATAATGTGACGTACTTACATGAAGTCACATCTCGGATTATCTCACTCTATGCTAGTACCAAAAGAGCCGAGAATAGTCTAACACCTGGTAGCAACGATATCCACTATAGGACATACAAGGATCAAATAGAATTTAGTCTTAATTTAATTGGTAAGAAAATTATGTTTATTGCACCCCATAGTAGAGTTAAGCGTGGCATAATAAATGGGTTAGGATCTGTTGTCAAAGCAATTACTGGAAATTTAGATTACGAAGATGCCGTTAAATTTGAAAATGAGATAAGCAGTCTACGTCATTCTGTTAGTAAAATTCAAAATTCACAGAAAAAGTCCTTATTTTTAGCCGAAAATACAGTAGGTGAATTTAATAAACAAATACAGATCATTAATGAAAATGAGAAAAAACTAGGTAATTTATTGAAGAATGCCACCATTAGTAATAATCTAGTTTTAAATCGCATGCACTTCTTAGACTTATATATACAAATAGAATTTAGTTTACAGCTTCTTTTAGATAAGCTCATAGTTTTAGAAGATGCGATAACTTTTGCACAGTTAGGCGTAATGCATCCAAGTATAATAGCACCCCAGATCTTAATAGAGGAAATCCAAAACATGCAGAAATCCAATAACTTTAAAGCAGTAGATAGCATTAATATGAAAAATATTCATAATATTGAAAAGTCTATTACCGTAAAAGCGTACAGCACAGAACACACATTAACATTTATTTTAGTAATACCTTCTGTCGATGCTAACACATTTGACCTAATCCACATATATTCCATCCCCGATAAACAAAACCTTACCATAATCCCCAAGTCCAAATACCTAGCACTGGGTAGCGAGGAGTATTCTTACCTGGACGAAAGCTGCAAGAAGATCACCCAAGACACCCATCTGTGCACATCACTCAACACTCAACCCCTGGATAAATCTGAAGACTGCATAATATCACTAGTCAAGCACCAGACGGCCAACTGTACACGAGCCAGAATGAATCTCAAGCGAGGGTTAGCCCAGAAAATCGAAGACAATAAATGGCTGATAATACTAAAGGACGAAGAAATCCTTAGAAGTCATTGTGAATTGAAGACGGAATATAAGAAGATCTCGGGTATCCAGATAGCCACCATATCAAGTGACTGTCAGCTTGAGATCCTTAATAGAACACTGAAAACAAACACAGACGCCATAACCATAGATGAAATCATCCCGCTACCAAGTGGATCACTTATACCAGAGGAGAGTATCCACTACAATCTACAGCTAGAAGATATTGCATTGGACAACATCCATGAGTTGATGGATCGTGCAGAAGATATCCTGTACGAAGACGACCTAGACTGGAGAACCACGATGGCTACACCCAGCTTCACGACGCTTGGACTCTACTTCATCCTCACCGGAATCTTAACTTGGAAATTATACCAATGGAGGCAACGCAGACTACAAGCATCCCGAGAACCAGCAGACACCAGACCTACAGAGCAGATTCAATCGGAGAGTACAAGTAGCGAGGACGCTACAGGAAGCTGCGGGACTCGCTTCCAGCTTAGGGAGGGAGGAATTAAGCAATCGATCAGCCCGTACCACCACTAAACCGATTGCTGATGAAGCCGATCAAATTGCATACATATGACGAGTAGAAGTTAAAGTGCATATTTAGCATTATGTTATTTTATTAATATAATTTAATTGTAAGTCAGTCTTGTAGGATAATTCATTAAGTAAACACCTTGTAATAAATAAATCCTTTTTTTTAATTAAATTCCTGATCGCCGTTATCTAACTCTGTTCAATACATTAAAATATTTAAAAATAATCACACTTTCATTAATTGATTTCATGACCAACATAATTTTATTGCTTTTCCAGCATTTTTTTAAGATATGAGTATGGTGTTTGATGCTAAAAAACCGTGACGTCACAATGCACAATCACGTATAAAATTCATAGAAAACTACCTAGTGTTTTTGACAGTTCGAAAAAAGCATTGAATTTGAGTAGTTGGCAAGTACTCAATTTCCAATAATAATAGTATAGTAATATCCTTAACCCATCGTCTCGTAGATACGTAGATATCGGAACGTAGATATATACGCGAGACACAGTTTTCTATTGTGTCGCAGATAAAAGGTTAAAGAAATAAATAAATCTTTGACTAACCATATTTGAAGAACATGTAAGCTGGTGTGCCTCCAAAGACCAGTATCTTGCTATCAAACACAAATATTCTGTCAGCATACTCAATTTGACTGCTGGAGAAGTTCAGTGATACTATCGTCTTGTACTTCTTAAATTGCTGCAAAATTATATTTCATTGTTTAAGTAACACAAGTTTTCAAGTGTGGGAGAGTCATGCTTCGGGACTCAAGAAACTACGGGAAAAAATATGGAATTTACCATTATTTTGTCCTTTATAACAGCTACGTATGTTCGATGATCAGTGAAGGCGGGTATCATGATGACCTGCAAATTGAAAAATAGGTGTTTGAATGTCGAAACGAACATTTGTTTCGTTTTTTTACAAAACAAAGTTGACAAAAGAGGCTGGCCTGTAGGGTCTATACACAACACTGGGTGATCCCAGCCTAAAATGAGTACAATGTTAACAACACGGGCCAATGTTAATTTAATAGTTGAAATACCAAACGATTACTTACGCACACATATTCAAATGCCTAAGAAGAAAACTAATATTCCATTACATTTATATTAAAGTTGTCTCAAGGGCCTCTGCCCAGTTGGCTACAGCCCCTCGTACGCCTCCCAAGTGACCGGGACCCTGTGGTCCCGTGAATGGTAAAAAAATACAAATAATTAAATAAATAAATATTTTTTTTTTATTTTATTGTAAGTAGTATTTAAAAATGTAAATTGTAGAGAATTTTAAACTGTCAAACACCAAGCGGTCACCGGTGACCGCAACCTATTGTTCTTTAATTGTGTCTATAAATACGGTACTCGACGTGTTAAATAAATATATGTAAATTAATACTAAAACAAAAACCATACCCGAGGTTCTAGTAACATGGCAATGGCCCAGCAGAGCTGAGCTTTGTAGTAGATGTTCAAGTTCCTCACTCGCTCGTGTTTCACAGATTCCAGATCACACTCCTTTAACAGACGCTTTGTCCGAACATGAGCGTACTCGAATATACTCAACTTCATTTTTTTCCATAGACATATCTGATGAATTGGGATGATGACAGGGTATGAAAATTAAAAATCTAATTAGTCCGTCAGTTAGGTAATGAAAAAATATTAGATACGTAATTTTTTATTTTGTCGTATAATAAAACAATACTTAGATAAAACGTATCAAAGTTTAGGAGTGGGGGCTAAAACGTCATTTCTACGTATAAAATGTACATAGAAGTGACGTCACGCGACATTTCAAATCAATATTTCGTCGAAATTATTCGTTTCTGTAAGAAAAAAAAATACATGTCTAGTGCTTTAAAATAATCTACCAGACGGACATTAAAATGAAAATTAGGCATCTGCCCTATTGGATATGGATGTTGTTAATATTGATATTAGAAAGCAAGAAAGATATAGTTTCGAAACAACTGACTCAAAATAGGCTGACAGCCAAATTACAGAAGTTGATTGGTCTTACCATGCTGAACAAAGTGAAATGCTCTTGAACAGTGAGGTCCTCGATCAGTGTCTCCGAGTGATGGCAGTATCCCATCATATGAGGTGAGGTCATCACGACGGTACCATATTCCATTTTTTCGCCCAGCACCGTTATTGATCCGTGGTCGGCAAACGTTAGACCTGAATCGATTAAATATTAGGGAGTTAAGTATGTGAATTATATCTTTGGAAAGTTGTGGACAATCTCAAAATAAATTCTTTTGACTGTTAAATACAATAAAATATTAAAAAATAATCACACTTTCATTTTATAACAAATTGATTTTATAACCAAATTATTTTATATTTTTTTCAGCATTTTTTAAAGAAATGAGTATGCTGTTTGTCGTTAAAAAAACGCGACGTCACAATACACAATCTCGAACAAAATGCATAGGAAACTATAGTTTTTGACAAATTGAAAAAAAAATTGAATTTGACTACATAGTTGGCAAGTATCCAATTAAAAGAGGTAACGTTGTGTTTATCTGAACTGAAAAATTTCTTTGTTGTTATTAAAATACGGTACCCTATTCATTGTCTAAGAGGTACGGTTTTCCTATTCATTGTCTAAGAGGAAAATATTTTACGATGAGATTTTTTGTCGCCACATTTTTGGAAGACGCTACTAATTATCACTGGGCCTTTACGGCAATTTCACACGAAGATGATAATTAAATTGTAGGAAGAAACACATTGTTAATACATGGTATTGTTTGGATTAACGCTTAGCTTACCGGTGAGCAAGTCTTCGATGGTGTTAAGCATGGTTTCCTGGATTCTCTCCGCAAAGAGTACGGTGAACTCGCCGCGGTAAATATCGAAGGTGATATTGCTTAACACTGGAGCACCCATGATACTCTAAAACCACGTGATATTATAAACTATGAATTAAAACCTTGCAGATATATTTTTTTACCTCATCTTACATATTTTGCTTTTTATTCTAACAATCTCGAAACTAACTGAACACCCAATAAAATTACAATAGTCTGAGTAAAGATAAAGACTACACTAGCCTTCGATACATCTCGGAAGCTGACAGCTTTTGCCACAAATTCATCAACTTCTTGAACCTTTCCACGTTCACTCCCTGTGGGGGACTCTATCGTGTGTAGTCGGTCATGATCCTGAAGATGAAATGTAATTTCAGGTAAATTAGCTTTCTGATTTTCATTGACGTCATCATCAACATATCAGTCACAAGGCGACTGCTGAACATACCTCCGCAAGATCCGTGTTAGTTTTGGTTTTTCTTCTCTGAGTAATCATAATATATGAAATGTTATCGCATTTAGATAGATCAAAGAATTTATTAAGAATTGGCTCATGAAAGATTACCACATCATAGTAATAATAAGATTCACATCATACTAGTAGTACTATACTTTACACGTATGTTTATTCTGACCTCAATTTTCTTGAAGATAATAGACTTCCAGGACACTTGACCTCCGATGGCACGTTTCTGGCCAATAGTCCGCTGCAGCATCATCAGGACTCCGAAGTAGAATATGTTCATTATACACCATGATATCACCATATATGCCAAGGAACTGGAGTCAGTTGTTTCGGATTCATCTAAAAGTCATATATAGAATGGTAACAAGGGATGGACAGTAATCGAGAGACAATCTGCGGCCACCGTAAGCACGGGCCTGCGGACGGCGAGCATGGGTGACTTGCCGCACGACCAGAACCAAACCCGAGCGCACGGCGCGTCATTTTCCGCGCGCGCCTCAAGGAGCCATCAGACCACCACAGATGAAGCCCAACAGGGCTGATGCCGATACGGAGCCGCGGAAGACTCCGGCTCAAAGTGCAGGAGTAGGAACGGGGTGGTTTTTAGTGAGTAAGAGTCTGACACTCCCTCTCGCTTCATCCGGGCGGGAGAAGTCATTGGATGATTATCCCCCCTCGAAAAAAGGGATAGACAGTAAAGAAAAAATAAAGATGTTTTATTTATTGATAAAACTTTTGAGCTTGAACCTTAAAGTCGACGAACAAATAGCACCAAGTGATCGGCAAGGTTCCAACTGTAACAGTTATCAGAAAAATATAGAAACAATGCCAGTAATAATAGTATATTCCAAAATTTCATAATACTGAAGTACTATTCAGAATAACGTACGTAAAAATACAGACTTGAAGCAGCAAGAGTCAAAAGACTAGCACAGGGTGTACTTTTCGTGGATAACACGTCATTGTAATTAACAAACAATATGACTTGGATTTTTTTCTATATTTTTTTGATAACTGTTGGAACCTTGTAGATTACTTGATGCCATTTGATCGTTGACTTCAAGGACATCCTGTATTATTACTTACGTGCAGTTTGTAGTAAGGCGAATTTATTTAAAGCATGCACTAATCCTATGGGTGGAAGGATGAGGTGTAGAACGAAGGTCAGAGCGCTGTGCTTCAGGTCATACTCATGATGAACAAGCAGCTCTGCTAAGTAGGTCTGCATTAATGTGAACAACGTGGACCATATGCAAGCGATCGAAGCTGGAATGAAAATAACAAAGCGTATAAATATGAATGTGTTTAAGGTATAGAAGAACCATTGTAACCAGAAAGTAGAAGGTCAAAATTCATAATTATTTAAGCATTTCTATACAAGTAGTGATCCTAATCATGTATTGCCGTCAAAAATCAGCTTTATCCCTACTGAAGTACAATAAAACTATGTAAAAGGAGTAAATAATACAAAATGTAGTGTGAGATGAAGCCTTTGCTCAGGAGTAGGCACTTATAGACAGTTGATGAGAGAAATCAAATCTTAAATTTTTTATCGAATTAAAAAAAAGGAGGTTATTATAATTATTTTCCGTTGAAGACAAACCTTTGCTATGAAACATGCCCATCATCAGAGCTACCATGATCATGACCGAAGCGTAGGCCATCATGACTAGGAGGGCTGCGAAGAGATGGATCCATCTGAAGATCAGGATGAGGGTGATTGAAGCCAGGACACAGATGGGCAGGCAGGTAAGATAGGCGTAGACTAGCCAGCTGACGTACATAGAGCCGTAGCCGACGTTACGTAGACGGAGGGCACGCTGGAATCAAAAAATAGGTAAAATGTTACATGAAAGTACATGTGAACTTGTTAGAACCTCAGGTTGTTGTTAGTATGAAAGTAATAGTTGCTACTGGACGTCAATAATAGAGTAGATGCCTAATTTTTATTTTAATGGCCAACGATGCAGCAGTGGCATAGATACATCTACAATCTACGCATAGAGGCGGGAAGGGGCTACTAAACAGACTTAATATCCAGTAATGGTCTATGATTCCGATGTATACTTGAAAGTATTATCCAAAGAGTTTCCATACAGTCTTTCTGTAGAAAGGGGTTCAATTATATTCACTGCAAAGTTACTCTAAAGACAGATAGAACCGAATCTATATTGTTATACAAATTATAAAATTAATTTACATATTAAACTTCAAACTATTCGTTCTGTAATAAATATGTTTGTGTCATTATTTCGTTCAATTCAAGGAAACTATGGCTTAAACTAATTAGGAATGATTCAGACTAAGAATGTCACAACAACACTAAGACTGTACTCAGAAATCATTCATCATTAATAAAATAAAATATATGAGCAAACATATCTGTGTCACCTTCAACGTCAGTTGTACGCGGTATTTGTAAGGTCATTGGCAGGCAAATCACCAATATTGACATATCATTAACGTAATCGAAAAAATATTAGAATTCTGAGGGCCCAGTGTAATGGGCACACAAACGTCAATATCAATGCCGATTACCGCGATGTTTACTACGATAATTATTGCGATAATTTTAACGTGAATGCCCATCATGCCAAACGGTAATGTGAATGCCGTTGTCAAATTATCGCGTTGACTCGTGGTCCTCATCCGACCAGAAACAGACCCGAGCGTACGGCGCGTCGCGTTCCGCGCGCGCCTCAAAGAGCCATCACACCACCACAAATGGGACCCAACAGAGCCGATGCCGATTCGGAGTCGCAGAGAACCTAACGGGTAACCAGGTCTCCGGCTCCACGTGCAGGAGAAGGACCGGGGTAGTTTTTAGTCAGTAAGAGTCTGACACTCCCTCCCGCCTCACCCAGGCGGGAGCAGTCATTCGATGATTTTCCCCCGTTAAAAAAAATATACGGATGCAATGGGCGCTAGTGTCGCAACTCAAAAGTACAAAATGTCGATCGATCGGAATTGGATTCAAGAGTAAGCCCCCAGAGGGCTGAACGTGATAAAGTTTCGATTAAAGTAAAATAATCTCGTCTTAGGCCCTTAGATAGCGATCCCCATTAATATTATAAAAATGTAAAGACAAATTCTACCTCTCTACTTGTTAAGCTTTATAATTTAAAACAATTGAACATATTTGGATGGGATATCGTATAAAAATAGAATAAGCACGTCACAAATACAAATTATTATCATTTGAACGTATGAAAAAGTAAATAATGGCGTGTCAGTCTCGGTTTTTTTAATACGTCAATGCGAGTTTGTGGTTTTTTGACTGACTACTGATCAATGACATTATCAGGATGTTATTGAAGGCATAATATTTGCGGTTTATTATGAGTTTTCTAGTGTATTTTATGGGTCTAGAGATAGCATTTGTGTGGTATTTCTTACTATGTACGTACCTAAACGTGTTTACATGTTCGGCCTATGTACAGCACAACTTCCCAAAACCACTGCAACTCCTGTAAGCCAGGATCTACATACAGTAGATACAACCATGAAAACACCAGAACACTGAAGTCCGGCGCGTCCCAGGGACATGAGTAGCTGTCTTGGTTCCCGCAACGAAGTGAATCAGAAGATATTATAAGAGGAGAAGAAGAAGCTGTAGCTAAACCTATGTACAGCAGTAAACATCTTGTGGCCGATATCTATGATGAAGATGATGATAAGGACGTGCTTATCATGTTCGCAAAGTACATTCACAAATCATATCCATCATAATAATATATCTTAGCTGTTGAATAATGGGTTACTTTTCGAGTGGTTAGTACAATCTTCACAATAAGAAAAAACGAATTGCAATTTCATTACATATTTGATGGGCCGATTTAGATAAGTCTCCAATTTTAACACACGTTGCCTCGTTGGCCCAGTGGTCGCAAGTGCGACTCCTGCAGTTGCAAGGGGTCTCGGGTTCGATTCCTGGGTCGGGCAAAGTATTACTGGGTTTTTAAAAAATCTCACTAGTAGCACGGTGTCTGGAATTGTGTCCGGTATATAGCAATAGGTATGAGCCTATTGCTATATACCTCTATTACATGGGACTCATAACATAAATAATGAAAAGTGGGTGTTACATTGTACAGTGGCATAATGTGCACCTCTGTCTACTCCTTCAGGAATAAAAGGCGTGATGTTATGTATGTGATGTTTTAACACACGAGTAGTCTTAAAACTAAAACCAGAGATATAATGTCACTTAGAAATGATTGAAGCACCAAGATGTCAGTGAGTTATTTATGTGTGCGTGTGTTGTGTTGTGGATGTCCTTCGTGTCAATGTGTTTATGTTCTGTGTGGTCAGTCAAGTCAGTCAGTTACTAGGTGCCACAGTCGTTGTTTCAAGAGACTGTGTCCGCCTCTTTTCATCGTCCTAGACTAAAACCAATCCTAATCTTTATTTATATAATTCTGCTGTACGTGCGTATGTCATTGAACTCCTCCTAAACGGCTTGACCGATTTAAATGAATTTTTGTGTACACGTTTGAGTGGCGCCCTGGATGGTTTAGATTCACAAATCAGCCCGGCGGATGGCGCTGCAGATCACTGAACTAATTTGAATGATTTTTGTTTATACATACATTCAAGTGGATATGCAGGACAACGTCTGTCGGGTCCGCTAGTCTATATATATAAAAATGACACCCGTTTCCTGTTGTCACGCCATAACTTGAGAATGGCTGGACCGACTTGGCTGATTGTTTTTTTGTTGTATTTGTTATTGTCAGGAGAAGGTTCTTATGATAGAAAAAAATCCTGAAAATCTTATGGAAACGGGAGAAAACGGGATTGCGCGAACGAAGTCGCGGGCAGAAGCTAGTTATATTATAAATGCCAAAAGTTGTAGAGGTATATTTGTTTGTTACTCCTTTACATCAAAATGGCTGAAGGGATATCAAGATAAAATTTGGATCAGGGTCAATTTGGATTATAGTCTGGGATAAAACACACACTTATTACCCCACGAGAACGCAGGCAAAGCCGTTGGCAGAAGCTAGTATTTTGATAATGGGAACTAATTAACTCCCATGCCATGCCAACCCGCATTGAGCAAGCGTGGTGATTAATGCTCAAACCTTCTCCATGTGAGAAGAGGCTTTGCTCAGCAGTGGGCATTTATAGGCTGTTGATGATGATAATGATGAATTAAAAAACTAGCCATCAAAACGTTTTTAATTTTCCTTTAGTAACCGTATGTCTGGCTGAATTAGAATGAACTTTTTTCGTCTAAACTAATATTTTTAAAGAACTCTATCGTATTTAACATCCTATTTCGTCCGTTAAAAGCCAACCATAGATTATTATTATTGATTGAATACGATGTAAAATAACGTAGTTAGGATTTTTAGATAATAAGTTTTTTTATTTAATGCTTTTTTGTCACATGTCCCAAATCGAAATAATATTTACGGTTCTGAATATGACCAAATACCGGGTGCAAATCTAATCGCTGCTAATACTGAGAATTAAAAAAAGTAAATAATACCACTTTGTCGATCACAGCAATCGCACTTAAGACTTCTTTAATTCAACATTTGCACTGGCGAATATTAAAGCGACGACCTAATGTTATATAACCGATTCAAGCAGACTTCTAACTATAGAATATAACTGATAGCCTTCTTTAGGGTATAACGACTCTTATATCGTGCACGATAATGTCGACTATACCTTAAACGAGTTGACAGTTTCGGTGACAACGAGTGCTTCAGTCTCCAAGACCGGTGGAATAAGGGCCAGCGTGAAGCACAGCAGAATGCCTGACAACGCCTGCCTCACTGCTCCCTCTTCCATCAGCGGGGATACTGGCATTGAGACAAGGGTCACCTGAAATGCGAAACTTAAATATTAACAGCTATCCCTTTAAAACATTGTTTATATACTATTATATAAAGCGGAAGAGTTTGTTTCTTTGAACGCGCTAATCTCCGTAACTACAAGCCTAATTTTAATAATTCTTTTTGTGTTGGATAGTGCATTTATCGAGGATGGCTATAGGCTATAAAACATCACGCTACGACCAATAGGGGTTGAGCAGAGCGTGTGAAACCGCGCGAAAGTAGCTAGTTGGTTTTAATCACCGCGTTACCAACATAATAAATACCGTTTTAAATGTGGGAGAGCCATGCTTTGGCACGAATGGGCCGGCTAGACTGTAGTGAGACCACGGCCTCAAAGAAAATCGGTGTGAAACACCGCTTGCGTTGTGTTTCGTCGTGTGAGTGAGGTTACGAGACGTTCCCCCTCCTCCTCAATTCATGAATCCCAACAATCTCAAAATCATAATCCCCATAAGGCCGGTAACGCACTTGTAACGCCTCTGGTGTTCCGGGTGTCCATTAGCAACCCCGATTGCTTACCATCAGGTGATCCGTTTGCTCGTTTACCGGCTTATACCATAAAAAAATCAAAAAGCTTTTGGTTGCCCATAGGTACTGTTACACATACTCTAAAATGGCATGCTAAAAGGCGTTCTATTAACTATGCTAAATTCAAATGCCTGTCGGTTCACAAGCATGTCCAAAATGAGCATGCTAATTTCAAGCAACATTCCGACACACATGATACTAAGTGACAAGTGATCAATTGAAGCATGCTTTTAGGGCCGACACACATAACCGCGTTGCGTCGCCGCAACGCTATAATCAGCTGTTGACGTAACGCAGCGATCGTTCCAGCATAGCAGAGTAATAACAAATAAGCAATAAGTTTTTCACGATGGTCCACGGCAGAGACACGTCTATCCACAATAAAAAATCACGATGAACTGATTACCCTACCGAACGATCACAAAACGCTCTTTTCCACGACGCCGCAATGCCGCAACGCAAACCGCCGATTTTAGCGGTGCGGCGACGCAAAGCGGTTATGTGTTTCGGCCCTAATGCATATAATTGTGCATGTGTAACAGCACCTTATCTTTAGCAGTGGACGTCTCATGAATGATATGGTCATGATGATGATGATAATAATACAATATGATTTAGTAA